CATTTCAGAACTTCTTCCGGTAGCCACAGGCCTTCAGAAGCCCAATATATTTTGCCGCCTGAGGCAAAGGACCAGATGACACACACACCCCTACTCTTCACAATTCCATGTATGAAAGCCGACCAGAAGGACAGCTGGGTTTTTCTTCCACACTGGCAATGAGACAGTGGCCTTCACTGAAACCAAAAGCCACAGGCCAGTTTAGGGGGCACATACCAGGTCTCATGGTATACACAGCACCTGCCGCCCAAAATGGCTGTCTCGCTCTGCCTAATGGTAGGACCAGCCCTACTACAGGCAGCCTGAGGGCAGGTCTCCAATAAACCATAGATTCCCCAAACAATTGTCTCAGAACATGGGCACAAGACAGCCTTAACAGAGTACTGCTACCATATAAAGGTAAAGGTAAAGGACCCCTAGACGGTTAAGTCCAGTCAAAGGCGACTATGGGGTTGTGGCGCTCATCTCACTTTCAAGCCGAGGGAGCTGGCGTTTGTCCACAGACAGGTTTCTGGATCCTGTGGCCAGCATGGCAAACAGCTTCTGGCGCAACGATCACCATGATGGAAACCAGAGCCATTTACCTTCCTGCTGCAGCGGTCGCTATTTATCTACTTGCACTGGTGTGCTTTCGAACTGCTAGGTTGGCAGGAGCTGGGACAGAGCAACAGGAGTTCACCCAGTCGTGGGAATTCAAACTGCTAATCTTCTGATCGGCAAGCCCAAGAGGCTCGGTGGTTTAGACCACAGCGCCACCCGCATCCCTACTGCTATCCTATAGCACCTTTGACCCACAACTTTTGGATACATCCAGAGCTGGCCAAAGGCCAAGGACAAGATGGTGTCCCTCCTGTTCCACAAACATAAACTGATTAGACTGGCAGTTCAATCTCACTACAACACTGGCAATGGGACTGTATCCTCCGTTGCACCTGAGGGCAGCAGGCTAGCTTACAGGGGTCATGGTTGGTCAAGTGGCACATACACAGCTCTGATCTCCAACAGGGCAATGGACAAGGGGGTGGCTGAAGAGGCACAACAGGGTTCTGTCACTGCCACCCTCCAGCATTTGCTGCTGGAGGCGATTGTCCTACTTTGCCTAATGGCAGGGCTGGCTCTAGGTACAATACATTTCCACTCATTGTCTGTGTACTGTCTTTGGCTCCTGTCCCAGCAGCAATATTTATAAAAGGGCATCTGCTTAATGAAGGAGGAAGTTAAAGGGCAGGCTTTCCCCCTATCCATGCAGTCATAAGGTTTGTCTTGCTGGATTAGATCAGGTGTCTAGCACTGGCTGGGAGTGCAGGTTTGAAACTGGAAGGGGTAATTTTTCTGGATTTGCTCATGGAGAGCGCAACATTGCACATAGCGCAAAGTTAAAGTCACCTAGCGATCTCCTTGCTTCGCTGGCTAAGTGCCGGCAGAACATTGTTGCGCAGCAGAAGGCTTAAGCAGGACGCTAGCAACTTTCTTGCACAACAGATTGTGCCAGGGCAACTGCCAGGGCAGTCTGCTAGGGCAACTGTTGTGCTGGATTCCTCCGTTGTGCAACATTAAAACTCCCTGGTTGGATAGTGCAAAGAGCCTTTGCACCAATAGACAGAGAACGCTGGATACAGCCCTCAGTTTCAAGATCTGTAAAATAGGAATAATAGTGGCATGCTATTAAAATAATAAATGAGATGAGGAAATGATGCTCACCATCTCAGCGTTTGGGTGAGAGGTTGGGCTATAACTCTCTGTTAAAAATGGAAAGCTGTATCTCTGCCGATGCAGTGGGCAGCTTAGTTCCTGAAAGGCAGTGCTTAGGACACCACATGATTGCATTAAAGTGCTGCAGCAGATTGCAAAGCATTCACCCTAGCTGCCTGCTTTTTTGTTGTTTTTTGTTTAAAAAGAAAGAATCCCCTCCAAAATCTGCTTTACAGATAGAATTTATTCATTTCTAGCAGCTGGAAGTGCAAAGAGAGAGGGCTGAACAAGATCAGGATGAAAACCACTGTGATTTCTACCTGCTCTTTCATGACTAGGGACAGAGAAGAAATCCGACTTGGTCCACATTTTAAGGGAAACCTACCTAATTCATACTTCTGGAAACACAGCTGCCCTTTGAAATTTACACTTCTCTGAATTTTGCAAAGTAGTTCTCTAACCAAATAATGTATGCAAAATAATAATAATAATAATAATAATAATAATAATAATAACAACCCACCCAGCATACATTGGAGGGAAGTGTGCATTGATATGCATGTACAGTATTTGTGAAAATAACAAATGCATTATAGTTCAGAAATTGTCTTGCAAAATGTGTGCATTAGGAGAAATGTGTACTGAAATCCTGATAAATTTTCATGAACACTTTTGAAAACAAAGAAACTCACAAATGTGGTGGATTAAATTTGGAAAAAAGAGAAATGGGGAGAAAACAAAATTGAGTAATCTCTTTCTCCCCTTTCTAAGAACTGGGCTCTCTTAAAAGGTATCACAACTAACCACCCTGATCTGGAATAAAACACAGCATTAAGATGCCTTGACATAGACATCCTCACTCTTTGGCTCACGTATCACTACCCTATCTTCCTATATAAATAAAAATGTAAGGCTGTCGTCATGCTGCAGTTTGCATGGCTGCTAATAGGTGGCCGCACCAACTCCAGCGTGATGAATGGCAGGCAGGCGAGCACTGTTAGAAGGTGACCTCCTGTTTAACAGAGGGGAGAGAGGAGCTTCACACACTGATTAAGCAGGTTAGCAGGGTTTGGCGAGTTGAGTGAGTGAGGGCAGCAGCCCCTGGTAACTATACTCAAAGCCAAAGACTTTGGTGGCCTTTGTCACAGGGGATACACTTCATGGGAAAGATGAACCAAGATACCCATAAAAAAAGCATAGTAATGGATGTTATTGCTACTACAGATGGCAATGAGCTCTGCACCCCTGCCCCTTCCTCTCCCACGAGGAACACAGACAAGGTGGAAGAGTACAGGTTGGGGCATCCTCTTGACAAGGGACTACCCTCTTCCCAAGTGCAAGAGCTAGTGAAGGAAGAATCGGAGCACAAAATGGTTCTTTGTCATCCCAGTGGCCCATCACCACCAAAGGCTCAGAGAAAGGCAAAAGCATCCTTGAGTCTGCCAGTTTTTTTGGTAGTGCCTGCTACAGACAAACAACTTCTGCAAATGTAAGATTGCTAGAAAGGTAAACAGGCAGCAGGGACAGAGAAGGAACGGAAAAGAGAGGAAATAACAATTAGGTGGTACACTATTGATTGTCTCAATATTTAAGATTGTATTCCAGCAAAGGAATGGCAAAGAACCTCGGTTGCACCTTGGCTTCATCGTGCTATAGGTGGCAATCCAAGGAGGACTGGGGATATGCAAAAGTCCTAGACCAGCACTTTTCCCTCTATAGCAGCATAAAGATTATGGCTTTATCAGTGAGCTGAAAGTGGCATAACAGAGCTATCGTTTCTCATGGTGTGTAGTCCTTTATTTACCCCAGTTTTCTCTGGTCAAACAGGCCATCCGAGTTTATGTTGTGCTTCAGAGAAAAACCCTCTGAAACCCGCTTGACCAAAGACAATAAGGAAACAAGAGAGGAGTGCCCATGCCATGAGCATTGATGGTTCTATGGCACCAGTACTAATTCTCACTTGAGTCTGTCTCCAGCCTACAAGGGCACCAAAGTTTTGTGGGACCCAATCCTATGCATGCCTACTTAGAAGTAAGACCCAATCAGGTCCAATGGGACACTAAGTAAAATTCTGCGCCAAGTAAAAGCTGGGATTCTGCAACCTGCATACCTGAATGCTAAACTGCTCCATTTGCATATTTGATCTTGTGTTGCAGAATTCTTATTCTGCAGTTTTCATTATTCTGTATTGTTTATTCCTCTCTTGACAATCACGGAGACGGTGGAAGAGCTATGCAGGGCACTGACAGCCCTTTCCCTCCCCCTTTATAACTGAGGTACATCAAAGGGTTGGATTCTGTAGCTAGCACAACATTCCGTGCTCACACGGAATCACGGCGTAAACACAGCCCTGACTACACTCACCAGCCCAAGAGAGGCTGTGGGTGTTCTGACACGCTACTATGAAGTTTAAGCCTCGCCTCACCCTACGAACGAGGCCCTCTAATCCTGCAGAATCCTCTTGGAGCCGGTTGCTCTGATCTCCTGTTCTAGGCCTGCCTGCGACTCTTGCAAAAATTGCTCACGGATTGTAATTTGGTTTTCTTGTAAAGAAAGAAGAAACGGAGATATTGGGATGGGGGAAGGAGGAAAATACAAAATAATAATTATCCCCATTGCTACAGTTATGGCAAACATTTAAAGCCTTGTGCGACACACACACATACCCCCCAGTAGAAGTCTTCCAGTTTCTTAATATTGATACACATGCTACAGTTATGTCCGCAAGCGAGCAAGTCAAAAAACGGCACAAAAACGGCGGCACTACAAAACTGTGCTTTGCAGAGGACGTGGTTGCCTGTAGCAAAACCCTCATTTTGCCCCTCGCCCACCCCACCCCACCCCTGCTTCCCACCCCTCGTCTCCTTTTCCCAACCCCCCTGGGTCCTGCCCAAATTGATTCCAGCATTTCCCCATCCACCTTCCATTTCCCCTCCCGGTGGAGCAGAAACCAGGTTTCTTCCAAGTGCTTTGCTAGGGAAGGGGTTGGGCAGGTTTCCCCTCCAGCTGATATTGCTCTGGGAAAATAGTTTTGACACATTCCAGAATTTTACCCAAAGAAAATGGGGAGGGGGGAAGGAAAGACCATTTTGCCAATGAAGAGAATGCCTGGAAATATTAAAACAGTTCCGAGATGTCTCATCAACTCTTCTCGACTGAGGTGACGTCAGCCACCAGCTACCCAACAACATCAACCCTCTCTGAGTCCATGACGCACAGATTTTCCCCGTGTCCTTTGGAAAGTAGGTTCGTGGGGCAGTCAATAGCATCCGCCAAAGGGCATCGGGGATTTTGCCCAAGTTCCCTTTTTATCTTTCGGACTTCACCTTGTACTTCAGGGTGAGGTAAGCCATGAGCCTGAGGATGACGAAAAAAATCCCTAGGACGATGAAGTCAAGGTAGAGCTTAGCTTCCTCCACGTCCAATTCCTGGAGTATCTTTATCGGGTCCTTGAAAGGACAATCGGGTACCTTACATTCCAATTCTTCCCGCTCCAAGGAGTAGATGGTGAGGATCACACCTTCAAAGCCGTACCTGTATGCCAAGATACAAAACAGTGTTGTAAATATAACACCAATGCATATTCAGAGATCCCTGAACTTTTAGGCTACTTCCAAATGAAAGCTAAAAAACCTGGGGTGTTCACAGGGTGGTATTCACTGCTTGTCCTACTCAGAGCAGACCAACTGAAGTTTATGGACACTGCTAACTTAGCTCCAGTAATTTCAATGGGTCTACTCTGAGCAGGACTAAGCTGAAGGCAACCTGAAGATACTCCAATGACTTGCAAAAGTTGAAAATGGGACATATTTTTACACCCCCTTTTTTCAAGAACTGCTGGTTGTAGCCAACCAAATCCTACTCAGAATAGACCCATTAAAACGAATAAGCTTAAATTTGCACTAACTTCAGGGGAGCTACTCTGAGTAGGACTAGCATTGCTAGGACCCCATGAGTCTTGCGTGACCTGGTGCGTTAACGTTGCTCAAGAAACCTGGAAGGTATTTCATATGTTTCAGGAATTTCTAATGGTTTGTTGCTGTTGTTTTGTTAGTTTGTTAATCTGGATTAAAATATACTATTTTGAAATGCGTTTGATATTTTGACCTGGTTCATATGACATAGTAAGGCAAACCCTGATTTCCTGTTACTGCTCAAATGTGCCCTCCTTTGCTCCTCCCCAGTCCTTTTCACTGCCACACCAGGCTGAGCTAAAACCAAGGTTTTTGTATTTCCTTCACAGCCAAGAACAGCACATTTCTTTAATAAAGTTTATGTCTGGTTGTAACAAAAAACAACAACCCTCGAGGTGGTTTACAAAAAGAACACTGAAATTATCATTCTCTAACAATTAAAAGCTACAACTGAAAACCTGCAAAAAATAATTAAAGCCCCAAGATCAGCTAAAAAGCAAATTAAAACGCATGCCAACACTCTACATGTCTGAATAGGCTTGCCTAAACAAAAATGTTTTTAGCAGGAGACAATAACAGTACAGTGAAGGCACCTGTCTGGTGTCAATAAGCAGGTTTGAGGCTGCCACACTGAAAGAATGATTTCTTATAAATGTGGAACGAGTATTATGCAGCACCTATAACATTGCCAGTTCTGCATATCCTGGTCCCAAGCTTTCAGGAGCTTTATATATGAAGAGTAACACCTTGAACTTGGCCCGGTAGCGATTGGGCAACTGGTACAAGTATCTGAGCAGAAGTTTCCCTCTTGTCAACAACCCTGATGCAGCATTCTGCACTAGCTGGATTTTCCGGGTTATGCGCAAGAGATTGAGCCTCGGATTGAGCACATTGCAACAATCCCATCTTGAAGCAACCGATGCAAAAGCTACTGTGCATGGCGCACATCCCTGGCCAGATTGCATTGCAGAGCCTTGGAATACAGCGAGGTGCGCTTATGTGTGCTAGGAGCCCCACCTGACATAAGAGACATACGAACTCCACTGCAGGTAGGTAGGGATGGTCTTGAAACTCACAAAGAAGCCAGAAAAGAGGAGGACGGGGATGGCTGTGACAGGACCCACAAAGGTGGCCACCTGGAAGACAAAGGAAGGAAGGGAGAAAGAGGCACACAAGTTAAAGAGGACTTCCAGACAAGGACTTTATGCCACCAAATTCAACAGCGTTTTGGTGCAACGGTCTCCATAGTTTTGCACGTGGCTTTGACTAATATTTACACATTTTTGCCAAGCAATTTCTCCCCAATAGAATGCATTGTTGTTTGTTGTTTTCACTCCTATCGGTGGTTTCATGCACACTTTACGTTAGTATACGCATTTTTGCCCACAACACTTGGCTATGATTCCTGCATTGCAGGCGATGGGACTAGATGACCCTGGGGTTCTCTTCCAACTCTACAATTCTGATTATAGGGAGAACTGCATTGCAGGATGGCTGCGTTTCAATTCTCTTATGGTTTCAGAAAGTGTGAATTAAAGAGGTTCACCTTTACATGAGAACGGAATTGAATTTCTCCCCCATCCTTACAATTGGCACTCACACACTCCATCTTTTAATCTTAATTCCCAGCCCCCCAGCCAGATATTCCATGCACTGTTATATATTCAACAGCAGAGGGCAGTTCTTCATGGAAAGTTTCCATGCTGTGTATTCTAGTTCCAGCCCCATAAGCACTATTCCCCTCCCTCCCCTTTTCCCCATTTGGGTAGGGCTGCCATATGGCTGGATTTTCCTGGGATTTCATGTTCAGGAGGGATTTCCGAAAGGAAAAAAGCTCAACAACTTTTGGATTTTCCAAAAAAAACACTCAACAATTTTGGAGTCCTGGGTTTTACTTTTTGAAATATGGCAACTCTACATTTGGCGCATAGCTGTCAACTTTTCCCTTTTCTTGTGAGGAATCCTATGCAGAATAAGGGAATTTCCCTTAAAAAAAGGAAAACGTTGACAGCTATGATTTGGGGTATGTGTGCAGGTATTGGGGCACCTGTGCACATTCACCTTTTGAAAAATTAAACCAAAAATAAATCTCCATATGATGAGCAGGAGAGCACCAAGAGAAAGGTTACCAACTCCTAGTTATCTCTGCAGGAAGAGCCTGCAGGATCAGACCAATGACAAATCTAGCCCAGCATCCTGTTCTCACAGTGGCCACGCAGATGCTTGTGGGAAGCCTGCAAGCAGGAGTCGTGCACAAGAGCCCTCTCCCCTCTTGCGCTTCCCAGAGGACAGCCGTGGTGGTGGGTAACCATAGATAGTCCTCTCCGCCATGCATTTGTCCAATCCACTTTCGAAGCCCCAAAGCTGATGGCCATTACTGCCATCACTGCAGGAGCAAGTTGTGTCGTTGTTGTTGTTTTAAGATAATATTTATTAAGTTTTCATTTTTCAACCAAACATTTATAACATATCTTTTCATCACCTATAATTTGACTCAGCCTCAAACTCCCCTCCATCCCCCCAAACTAACTTTCTATCTTCTTTACATAATTTCCTCGCATTTCCAATTCCCCCTATCCACCTACTTTCATTCCTTAAAATTCCTTCTCATTGTAGGTAAGTTTCTATTTCTAAACTGCAAAAACCTTTAAATCAGTCCTGTTAGTGTCAGAGATTTACAATGTTCTTTCAAATATAAAATAAATTTACTCCAGTCTTTTTCAAACAATTGGTCTCGCTGGTGGCGGATTTTCGCAAGTTGCATCGTTTAACTGAGCACTGCATGAAGTGTTAGAATTCCTGCCCCATGATTGCAGTCATGGGATTGTTGTCTTTCACATGACGATATATGTTTTGACTCCACAGAGTGGGAAGTGACGGAGACAGGATGTTTGTGTTACTGTGTTCCGTGAAGTGGGACTATTGTCCTTTGTTTCTTTTTCGCTTTGCTGTCTGATGCTAGAGAGAGAGGGAGCCATGTTGCAATGCTCCGTGTGTGTTTATATGTAAATAAAGTAGATAAGCCAAAATGCTGAGTTGCTGAGGTCTATCATGAGCATGATGCGCAAACTCTGCGGATCCCTAAGTGTGCCGGTGTCAGTTGGCATCGGTCACTGTGATGTTTGGGCTGAAGAAAGCTTGTGAAGCTCCCAAACAATCGACCAGGAGGGAGAGAACATGCCAGTTGGGCATGTGTCTCTGCCAGGGTCCTACTCGGGTGTAGGCTGAACTCCTGACATGAGGAACTGCTTTGTTGGGTCTGAACCTTCCAACATTCAGCTTCCTTGGATGGCCATTGCTGGGAACAGGATGCTGCCTGGACAGATCTTGCTTGGATCCAGTGCAGGTAGCCCTTGTCCTCTTACAGGACTTCATCCCTGTGCTGAAAACCCAAAGCACCACCAGCCCCTTTCCTCCCTGGTCTTACTTGTAAGGAGGTGGATGCTGCTCCAATCATGAGCCCCAAGGACTGGGCCACCAGGGCGGTGGAAGTGGCCAGAGCAGAGAAGAGCAGAAATCGGGTGGCTTCCGGAGGCTGGCCCGTCATCCAATACACAATACTGCAGTAAGTAATGGGGCATATTACCTGCAGGGGGCAGCAGGAAGCAGGTTAGCACTACTTTGTAAGTGTGGGGTTTCTCTCCACCACCCAGGGCTGGCCCACCCATGAGGCAGACTGAGGCAGCTGCCTTGGTTGGCAGAATCTTGTGGAGCAGTGCTTCCGCAGGTGCCCCATTTGCCCCTTCTGGCGAGATCTTGCAGGATTCTTGCGAGATCTCACTGGGAGCCATTGCCAGGTGTGACGTTTGTAACCAAACAATTTAACCCCCGTGTTGCAAACAATAGTCAGTGATATCCAAGGCAACACGATGACCAAATACAATGATACAATGTCAATATACACTCTTTATATAATATGAAATATATGAAATCACATAAACAGAAAACTAATGAATCTCTGAAAGTCACAAAATATGCACTCTTAATGGATTCTCTTGAAAATATAAAACCATATAAGACTTATGTTTATTTGGTTTTATATTTTCAAGAGAATCCATTAAGAGTGCATATTAAATGTAAAGGGACCCCTGACCATTAGGTCCAGTCGTGACCAACTCTGGGGTTGTGGTGCTCATCTGACTTTATCGGCCGAGGGAGCCGGTGTACAGCTTCCGGGTCATGTGGCCAGCATGACTAAGCCGCTTCTGGCGAACCAGAGCAGCGCACGGAAACGCCGTTTACCTTCCCGCTGGAGCGGTACCTATTTATCTACTTGCACTTTGACGTGCTTTCGAACTGCTAGGCTAGCAGGAGCAGGGACCAAGCAACAGGAGCTCACTCCATCGTGGGGATTCAAACCGCCAACCTTCTGATCGGCAAGTCCTAGGCTCCGTGGTTTAACCCACAGCGCCACCCGCATCCCAAATAAATAAACCTATGTTTATTTGGTTTTATATTTTCAAGAGAATCCATTACGAATGCATATTAAGTGACATTTGTAAGCAATGTTTCAGAGGGAGGGGGGTGGGCACCTTGTTGTTTCGCTTTGGGTTAGCCATCCCTGGTGTAAATGGCAGCTAGCTGGGGGAGGCAAAAATCATTGGGAGCAGAAACAGGCACATTCTAGAATCCCCCGTGGGAGGGAGCTGAACCTGTTGAACTTCTGTCTGCCATGCAGCAATTAGGCTCTGGGTGGGTGGGAGATGGAGCCCAGCAACCTACAAGTTCCCCATTCATGGGTTAAAGGCACAGAGCTTCTGTTGGGGGCGGGAAATGTGGCATCCCTGGTCGGGAACGTGGGGATAGGAGAATGACACGAGTACAGAAGAAGCCTTACCTGAAAAGGAATATCCGCCATCGTTTTAGCTAGAAAATAAGCCTTGAGGCTGTACCAGTAGTTCAGATGCTCTCTCAGAAACACAGACATCTCTAGCGGGACTGGAGGGACAAGGAGACAGAGCAGAGCACAGCGTCACACTTGTGGGTTCAGTGTACTTCCCTACAGGAGGCCTCGGTTCTGCCGCCTGGGGATGTGCCCATGGTGTAAGCAGCTGTCCCTCCAAACCGCCAGCCCAAGAAGGGAGGCTGTTTCTGGGCCAGAGCAGGGCTGGGGAAGAGGATCTGGCTGGGCTGTCAATCACCACGACAATAGGTGGCTTCACTTCAAAGCAAGGAATTGGGAGCACATTGAAAGACCTACCGTATCTTTCGCTCTATAGGACGCACTTTTCCCCCTCCAAATAGGAAGGGGAAATGTGTGTGCATCCTATGGAGCGAATGCAGGCTCCTTGGCTTCAGCGATAGCAACGCGAAGCCTCCGAAGCGCTGCGCTCCAGGGGCTTCAGGCAGCTATCCGCAAACCTTCGGAGCGCAGCAGGAGTTCCCACCGCGCTCCGAAGGCTTGCGGATAGCCGTCTGAAGCCTGGAGAGCGAGAGGGGTCAGTGCACACCGATCACTCCTGCTCTCCAGGCTTCGCTTCGCTGGAGAGGCGCTTCACAGTTTTCCCTCTCTGTGCAGTGCCCCTTCAGCGAAGCAGGAGGAGAAATGGAAGGGGCTCCATTTCTCCTGCCACTTCGCTGAAGGGGCGCTGAGCAGAGAGGGGGAGAATTTTTTTTTCCTGTTCTCCCCCTCCTATGGTCCGGTGCGTCCTATAGAGTGAAAAATACGGTAATTCTTTCCTTTCTTTCTTTGCAGCCTGGCATGGGCTGAACTGAACGGCAGGGGAAGATCTCTTCCAAAAGCGGAGCCTGTGGGTCAGTGGTTGGGGGCACTTGCGAACCCAACTCTGGCAGGGATGGGCTCCACTCAGGAGCTTCCAATTGGAGCCACTCTTGGCGGAGCTTGAAGCTGATGCCAAACTTAAAAACCCCACTTGCTGAGGAAGAATCAAGAGTGTGCTTTAAGACGTCTGATGGTTCCTTTGCAGCTGTGCCTCTACCTGCTCCACACCTGACATTATATATGATGTGAGGTTTGGGGCACATCAGCGTGGTTTGGGGGAAACTACCTTACAGGCCAAACTGGGAACCCTGTCAGGCTGTATTAGAAGAAGAAGAAGAAGAGTTTGGATTTGATATCCCGCCTTTCACTCCCCTTCAGGAGTCTCAAAGCGGCTAACATTCTCCTTTCCCTTCCTCCCCCACAACAAACAATCTGTGAGGTGAGTGGGGCTGAGAGACTTCAGAGAAGTGTGACTGGCCCAAGGTCACCCAGCAGCTGCATGTGGAGGAGCGGAGACGCGAACCCGGTTCCCCAGATTACGAGTCTACCGCTCTTAACCACTACACCACACTGGCTCTCATGGGCTGGAGGTTCCCCATTCCCCACCTCTGAGTGATAGGGAGTTACCATATTTTTCGCTCTATAGGACGCACCCGACCATAGGACGCACCTTGTTTTAGAGGGGGAGAAAAAGAAAAAGAAACTCTCCCCCTCTCTGCTCAGCGCCCCTTCAGCGAAGCGGCAGGAGAAACGGAGCCCTTTCCATTTCTCCTCCCGCTTCGCTGAAGGGGCGCTGCGCAGCTCTCCCTCTCTGCTGAAGCCAGGAGAGTCTTGCTCTCCCGGCTTCAGCAAAAGGAACCCGAAGCCTTCGGAGCGCAGCACGAGGTCCCACTGCGCTCCAAAGGCTTCAGGGATAGCCACCTCTGCACTTCAGAGGCTTCGCGTTGCTATCGCTGAAGCCGAGGAGCCTGCATTCACTCCATAGGACGCACACACATTTCCCCTTAATTTTTGGAGGGGGAAAATTGCATCCAATAGAGTGAAAAATACGGTAGTTCTACAACAGCTGCTGACATCTTCCTTGGGGAAGGGATGTTGCTCAGTAGGAGAGCATGTGGTGCCAGACAGTGTGAATTAGATGGACCAACAGTCTGGCTCTCTACTTTCTCTGCTTCTTAAGCCAGGAGTTTGGAAGCCACAGCAAAGGATGAACTGCCAAGAAGGACTTGGGAGCTCCAGCCCTCCCCACGCCCGTCTAAATCTGACCACCGCAATGCCATCATGTTGGGTATTGCTTCTCTTCCATCTGGGGACAGAGCGCTTACACGTGAGGACCGTGGGCATCAGGGCAGCGAACATGAGGAAGAGCATGGAGAAGAAGAGGAAGCCGGTGTTGTTGAAGACCTTGGCGGCGTCATTGCCAATGTGCAGGTAGAGCAGTCCAATCAGCACACCGATGCAGATGTGAGACATGAACCGCAGGTGGGTTAGCACCTGTGTGCAAAGTGAGATGCGGCAAGTTTAGCACGACTGACCTCGCCCTTTGCGCAAAGCCTTTATAAACATCTGCAAGGTGCTTCACCGTCTTAAAGCCATAATAATAATAATAATAATAATAATAATAATAATAATTTATTATTTGTACCCCGCCCATCTGGCTGGGTATCTCCAGCCACTCTGGGCGGCTTCCAACAGAGATTAAAAATACATTAAAACATCAATCTTTTACAACTTCCCTAAACAGGGCTGCCTTCAGATGTCTTCTAAAAGTCTGGTAGTTGTTTTTCTCTTTGACATTTGATGGGAGGGCGTTCCACAGGGTGGGAGCTACTACCAAGAAGGCCCTCTGCCTGGTTCCCTGTAACTTGGCTTCTCGCAGTGAGGGAACCATCAGAAGGCCCTCAGCGCTGGATCTCAGTGTCCAGGCAGAACGATGGGGGTGGAGACGCTCCTTCAGGTATACTTCAGCCATGCTTGTCACTCCTTTTCCCATTTCACAGATGGATCACTGAGGCTGACTGATAGCAAGGTGGCCACACAAGAAGTCCATAGCACTGAGGCCAAGATGCTCCTGCCTACATTTCTCTCCGCCTGATCAAACCATGACTCGGCTTTGCTGCTGGACTTGGAGTGAGGCCCCTTCGTTTCCCAGCTGTTGTTGCCCCCTACCTGCACACTTTGATGGGGGGAAAGAAGGAAGCAGAAAACTGGAGGGCAGTAGCAGGACACTTCCTTCTGCTCCCGATTGGCTGGAGGTAGTCACATGACAACCTCTCACCTGCCTATAAATACTACCTGGGTTGTCCTCTCCTCTTCAGTCTGAGCCACCAGAAGACTCCTGACCACTGTCTGTCACACATCATTCCTGCTGAACCAGCTTCAGATTGCCTTGCCTGTTGCCCAGATTCCGTAAGACAGAACTGAAATACCCCATTTTTGTAGCAAAATATCCTGTATCACTCAAGTAAGGGGTAAGGAGAGCTTGGTATGCACATCATGAGTAGAGGTGGGGAAAAGAGTGCAACTCAAGTGTTGCCTCTTTGAACTCTGTATTTCGGCTTTGATCTGGTCCTAAGATCAGCTTTAAACTTAGTTCCTTGATTCTGCATTAAGGCTGGGTACATGCCATCCTTTTAAAGGGCATTCAAAGCACATTCTTTCCCTCAAAGAATTATGGGAATTATTTTTGCTTCCTATGTTTTAACAGGACATAATAAGGATATAAAGTTTAAGGACTTGATTTCACATTTTCTAATTGCTGCTAGACAAACCATGGTGGGGGGAAAAAGATAACCTGAACTTACAGCATGATATAGAACGATTCGTGCTTTGGCAATAATTACACGTAGAACCCGGTTTATGCAAGGAAAAGAAAAACCGCAATCATTTTATGCCACCTGGCAGAACTGAATTACATACGCAATCAGCAAATACTTACAAAAATGTGCAACCACTGCAGTTATGAACATTTGGCAACATTTATGTATGTAACATGAACTCAGGAACTTTTTATTTTTTGAGGAGGTCGCGATGCGCCTTGCACCAGTCATTGCCCCCCTTTCCCCTGTGTTTTAATATTGTATTGTTTTTCTTTTGAATAAATAAACCTTTTAAAAAAGAATTCCAAGCACTGTAGTTTGTTAAGGGTTGCTGGGAATTGTAAGTCTGTGGGGGGTAAACGGCAGCTCCCAGAATTCTTTGTGTTTTGAATGTGCTTCAAAGATATAGGGTATACACAGCCTTAAGTCTGTGATTCTGGCGCTCCTGGTGAGATCTGTCTTGACTTTGGGGGCTATAGCTCAGTGGTAGAGCAGGTGCCTTGCATGCAGAAGGACCCGGGTTCAAAACAAACCATCTCCTCATTGCCCTGATTCTGGAGTACCTAAAATAATGCATCTGTTCCATGTGCAGAGTGCCTCTCTTATCACAGCGTGATCCCAAAAACCTGGGAAGGTCTCTCTGCTCCCCGCGCATAGCTCTTAAAACAACAACAACCCAAAACAAGCCACATCGTCCACCCCATACCCCATGTCCCACCCCACATCCCTCCTCCTCCTCCTCCTCCCACAACTCAAGCTCCTCCCTCTCTCAGCTTGCCCCTCCTCCAAGCCTCACCGTGTCTCTCATAATAGACAGGAACGTCCTCTTGAAGAGGATGCAGAATTGGGTCATGGTGCTGGTGGCAAAAGTATGGCTCTCGATATGGTCCAAATCCTGAGAGTGACACAGGGCCAAAAAAAGAGAAAGGGGGTGGGGGAGGGGAAAAGGAGGTTAGTGGAACTGTCATGATCTGGGTGGTGAACATGTGCATTTTTATCATTGTTTATTTTATTAGCCTGCCTTTCCATCATACTGAAATGCAAGGTGGTCCACAAAAACTAAAAGCTAACACAGAAATAAGTGATACACGTCAGAGTCACTTCTGAGTGTCAGAGGTGCACACCCATCCTGCACTAGGAACCAGACTTTTAGTGTTGCAGCTCCAGCTCTCTGGAATCAGTTGCCAGCCCATATCAAAAAGGCGCCTAGTATCATGATGTCTTAGGTGCTTACTGATTTTCATTTATTTTTTATTTTTGCTTAGGACGGCTTTCCCAGTCATCTATGGACGATCCAATTTACATCCGAGGAAATTGCCTGGTGGTTTTTAGAGTTTGCACGGGTGGTTTTATTGTTTCCAAGTTTGTGTTTCCGTGTTTTGTCCTGTTTTTAGCCATGTGCACTGCTTCAATGGCTTAATGCTTTGAAGCGATCCATAAATTGGTTTACTAAATAAAATAAATAAATAAACAGGAGAATAAATAAATAAATAAATAAATAGTAAGTAAGTAAGTAAGTAAGTAAGTATTACTAATGGCAAATTCAATTCTCTTTAGATTTTACTGTTATTGTTATTTCAGCTACCTGCCCTTCACCAGCATGAGTATTCCTGCTAATGATGGTGCTCTGATGTGCAGAGAGGAATGGGAAAAACAGTCCCTAGGTCTGAGTGTATACATTGGGATTCTTGAGTCATAAAACAAGCAGCCAGAGCCAACCCCTTTCCCCGCCCCGCCCCAGCTTACTGCCACGCAGTGTCCTGGGCAAGAGGAATCTGCTTTGGTCGGACTGCTCTTCTTCTCCTCCATGGCACAGAGCCCATTCTGGACCGCTTGGAACAGTAGTGGGTTTAGGTCGCCGTATTCTCCCGAGGCAACTTCGATAACTGCAAAGGAGAAAGCAGCGGCTTTCAGACAACCTTGTTTATCGAGCAATTTATCCTGATCTGTTTGCACAACCTTTGCAGGGAAGTCAGGCAACTGTTGGCTATTTGCTAAGCAATCGTTCCGAATGGCTTGATGGGAATTTATATGCTGTTGTGTGAAGCGAGCCTTATCACTTTCCGGTTCATTTTGCGCATCACTTTCCTTACTGCAAGAAGTCAGATTCTGGGTGGAGGGAGGAAAGGAGGTCAGAGAGGGGTGTGTGTGAAGCCAGCCTGCTGCACAAAGGTAAAATGTATGCTCATTGCTACACCCACATTTGCCTCTGGAACTTCCTAACCACTGGCTTGTGGCCTTCAGAAGAAAATGCAGCCTTCGGGCTCCATGAATTTGTCTATTAATTTTTTTAAAGCCATCACTTACTGAAATCAGCTGGGTTGTGGTAGGTGGGGCAATGCAAGCCCAGCCCTTTCAGGTATGGGATGAGGTTGGGCACTGCACCTTTGAAGATACACTGACCTTGGCTCAGGATATAAAGCTGGAAGAAAGAGAGAGAGAGAAGAAAAGAAAAGAAAAACACTCATGAGGACTAACATACTGGGAAGGCCCTATCGTTAAGCAGAGGGAGGCAGCCACCTCAGACAGCTGATTTTGGGTGTCATGAAAGGGCAGAAAATAGTTAATTCTTTAATTTATTCTTCTTGCCTTTTTACTCCCAGGGAGAAGCGCTTGTGGGATGTTCAGGATCACATGCCAAAGCAGTTTGGCTGGCCTTGGGTTTTGCGCACCTCGAGATGTGGTGTCGGGTGCACCGTTTGCCGTTCTGACTCACACAGCTGGCAAGGCTGTGTGTATGCCACAATTCAGAGAAAGCGAAATGTGGTAGCAACTTCCTGAATGCCTCAGCTTTTTTTTCCTTGTCGTCAACCAGGCGTCTAGCCCTTATGGCTGAGGATATACCCCTGAAATCTAGAAGCCAGTCAGAAGCGGCTCAATGAGATATTCCAGGGTTGGGGACAGAGTAACAGTGTCCTCATCTCTCCCTCCTGTGACTTGGCAAAAAACAATGCAAAACTGCAGAACAAATCCTGCAACTTTTGGGAAATTATGCTCGACTTGCATCATTTTCCGCAGGCCACACAAATTCCCTTTCTCCCTGGCACCGAATTTTGCTTGGCTGTGCACAGAATTCTGCTCTTTTTAGACTGCATTGCCCTGACTGATGGGGGCACAGAGGATAAAAAACAAAAACAAAATGGAGGCAGCTTTGGTGAGAGGATGGACAGGTCACAAAGGATCCTAAAGCCTGCCTCTCCAACCAGGAACAGTGCAGTACAGCATGGGTTCTGAGACCCCCTGCACACACCCCTGGGCCACAATGGCATCAGTAGTGCCATACCAGGGTGCAGTCTGGATCCTGCAGAATTTACTGAGCCACGGCAATAACCCGGTTTGGAGGCAGATGGCGCGCAGAGACCCTCACCTTATCAAACTTTTCAAAGAGCTTCGCGCTGGGCTGGTGGATGGTGCAGATGATGGTGCGACCGCCCTGGGCCAGCGATTTCAACAGCGAGACCACCTGGAAGCAGGAGGAACTATCCAGTCCGCTGCAGAGCCAGGGAAAGAGAGAAAATGCTGGAGTGAATGACGGCGGAAGGAGGCAAATTGAGAGTAGCCTGGTTTGCACGACACAGTAAGCCAAATTATGGTTTACCAGCTTTGTGCAAACACATCATGGCACCCATGAAGGCTTCAAGTGGTGACTCTGGGCAGATGCCCCAAACTCTGAGCTTTCATTTTTTAAAAAGAAAATAAGTTTCCAGCCCTCCTTGAAAGAAAGCTCTCCCTCTCTCTCTCTCTCTCTCTCTCTCTCTCTCTCTGTGTGTGTGTGTGTGTGTGTGTAGAAATGGGCAGGTACCTTCTGGGTGGTTTCCGTTAAATGAGAGTGGTGTGTCTACCTTGTGTGTTTTCCCTGGTACTGAGGAATGTTCCCTGTTGTTATTAGAAGGCAACAGCATCAGTGTGTGTTTTCTCTCCATGATCGGTACCAGCAGGGCATAGCTGAAGTTGTTTTTCGGGGGACAGTACCCCTTATTCCCCTCGCAGAGCTACAGTTGGTTACACAATCAATCCCTCTTCACGGGTAACTCTGGGAATTGGAGCTCTGGGAAAGGAGTCGGGGGTCTCCTAACGACTCTCAGCATCCGTAACAAACTACAGCTCCCAGAATTCTCTCCCCCCCCCCAATTTTTTTATTAGGTTTTCCACAATTATAACAAATATCACATAACAGAATAACAAACAAACAAAACAGAATATCACAAATATCACAAAACAGAATAACAAACAAAAACAAACGACAAAAAAGTACATCAAAGAAGAAAACAATAAGCAGATAAACAATAAAAACAAACTTAATTCTTTAAAAATCCAACCTGATAAACATATTAATAGAATTCTTTGGGGGAAGAAGCCATGGCTATTTAAAGGGGCACTACACTGCTTTAGGTGTATGGTGTGAATGCGGCCTAAGGAGAAGGAAGCAGACAGAAGAAGGCTGATGGGCTTGGAGGAATCAAGACCGAGATTGGGGCCCGAGTGCCATAGTGGGCTAGCCTCCATTTGCCCCATCATGGGCTGTTCTTTGGGTGGCAATTTCTCCCCCCCCCCCCACCTCCTGCCTTCTGGGCTGTGGGGCACCTAGACTTCACCCCCAGGTTCCAGCCTTAAATGCACCATTGCTTGCCCAGTGGGGAGCCTCCTCCTACCACTGCCTCCTACCCTCTCCCCCAGAATTGACACTGAGGCTGAATGCGGCCCATGGAATCTCTGCAACATACACTGGATGCTAACTGTGTTATGTACTGAAGTTCTCACCCTGGGCCAGCAGGGGGATACTGTAGATAGTTATGCAAATGAAGGATCGAAAGTGACGTTCAGTGATTGGATAGTTTGTATGCAAATGAAGGATCGAAAGTGACGTTCAGTGATTGGATAGTTTTAGAAAGTTGTTACAGTAACAAGGTACTGGAGCTCTATATAAGCAGGCTGACTGAGCCCTTCAGTTCAGGTTAGTTCTGGCCTCAGAATAAAGAAGAGCTGTTTGAAGAATTGCTGTGTCGTCTGATATGTTCGCCCACAACTTAACAAACTGAGTCCTGCTGCCTTTCTCCAGGTGACGTTCAAGGGATAGGGAAGCCTGGAAACACCTTGGCATCTTACCTGGTGGGTTCGTCGAAAAACATGACAGGGGGATTGTTGACCAGCTCCAGGGCGATGGCAAGGCGCTTGCGCTGGCCTCCGGACAGGGACATCGTGCGGGTGTAAGAACACTCCAGAAGACTCAGAGCTGTCAAGATCTCGTCCACCTGGACCCCACGGAGGGAGTGAGGGAGAAATGGACAGATTAGGGCAGCCATAGGGCAGCCCGAAATGTGGGCCTTTGCCATCATTACTTGATGAGGCCCAGCGTGTGGGGGAATCACGTACACAACTCTTGGTTTTCAAGTGTGGGAAATACGCAAACTCACCAGCTCCTTCTTGACTTCCTGCTTCTCGTTCAATTTCAGGTTGGCAGAAACCTGAGGAGGGAAGTGAAAATGTTCTTCTTAGGAAGTGATATGAGCAGGTTAATGCGCATTCAGCAGCCTAATGAAGGCTAGTTTGCTGGGGTTCCTGCAAATGGTTGGTGGCATGAGTAAAAACAGGTCGTTGGATGTCGGGTGATTGAAAAATGGGTGTCCTTGTCCACCTGTGGATGTGAGGGGGGGAGGAATCCCTTCTACCACCACCCCTGGAGTTTTACATGCTCAAATGAGAGCAGCTAGCTTCAGGATAGCCCAGGTCAGGGTCGGATTTAGGTTTGATGAGGCCCTACGCTACTGAAGGTAATGGGACCCTTTATATGTCCAGCTGTCCTTTGTCAACAAAAAATTGTTGCTGGTTTTTTTGTGTTGACTATATGCTATATGGTAATTTATGGACCTAATAGGTATCTAAAGCCACTTGCACATGCAGAATGTAGGCACCCTATATATAGAAATGAGCAAACCAGTGATATTTTAGGGAGCAGGCTAGCAGGCGGGACCCATGACTAACATCATAGGAGCCTACACAACACAAAACACTGTTGCTGTATGTAGGTTTTATTTCATTTGTTTTTTATCTTACATTTTGGAAATGTACATCCAGGTTTTTTTTTCTTTAATATTTTGGTGGCCCCCCAAGAGAATGGGGCCCTAAGCTATAGCTTATTTAGCTTATACATAAACCCGGCACTGGCTCAGGTTTTAAAAAATAAGAACTGCCATAACTGCACCAGAGACATTAGAGCTGAGCTACACAAGAAATCAAAACCACATGGTGTTTTACTGAACTGTGGAAGCATCATATCTTTCAGGGATTCTCCCACATGAACTAAATAAAAAAAAAATCTTCCCATACTCAAAGTGGACGGTTCTAAACAGGCTTTCTCCCTGACACAAGAGATGGCCAAATCAGTTTCCAACCCCTGTCAGTCTTGTATGTGTTTATTCATAAGTTTATTCCGTATTAATTTGCATATTAAAAATTGTTTTGGATGAAAATTCATTTATAAATAAGTATTTTAACCACAAGAGATACATTTAGAAACATAAAGCAGGCATTTATAAGACGTATTTCTTGTTTTCCGTCAATAACTATATCACTTTTTTTTAAAAAAAGCAAAACCTGAAGTATAATGGCATTCTGATCTGTAGCTACCCCAGGAGAAGCACATTAGGCAACTTTGCTTTGAAATTCACAGAAATCAAATTCCTGACAGAGCCTACTCTGAGGCACAGACAGTGACTGTTTGTTTAAATATGGGGCAAAACACTTACGCATTCCACCACAGAACCATGTCCCCGTTTACAAAATACAATGCTTAAAAACAATAAAACTGCAGCCCTCTGCAGTTTGAGGAGGAATGAGTCAGGAGGTGGTGTACCAATAGGATCCTGACAGTAATCTTCTCTCAGGCTATAAGCTCCATAATGTGGAATCCATGAGGTGAAGTGGGTTGGGAAGAGAGACATTGCTGTTGCCACCAGGGCGTGATTCTCTTCCATCTTGACCTCTGCACATCTCTGGAAGTCCAGATTCCTCCTAGGTTTCTCCTGGTACAACCCCCCACCCCCACACTATCACCCAAATATTTCCGGGCCCCGTTTCTCCCCTGCTCACCATCATAGCCTCGCGCACGGTGAGATGCGGCAGGAGCATGTCGTCTTGCATGATGTAGCAAGACATCTTCCGGAAGGTGCGCAGCTCCCTCTGCCGCCCATTCACGAGGATCTGCCCCTTCATGCCTGTCTCCCTGTAAACGACAACAGTGACCTGGGATGTTGGGAGTTGTGCTTTGGCAACATCTGGAAAGCCAGAGGCTCACTGCCACTTGAGCTACGTCCATGGAGCTGGAAAAGCCTGCATTGATCTCAGCGTTCCCAGCTTGAAGGAAGGGAGAGGTCAAGGGCTGGGATAGATCTAGATGGGCTTTCCCCTGGCATTCTCTCTTGAGAGCTGGCACCAACAGTCAACGTGGTTGGGCATTTGCCAATGACCCACACTCAAATAGGGGCCACATTGACAAGACCCACCACAGTGAAGATGTGGGGGTCAGCGCTGGAGGAGCTCCATGAAGGGTAAATTGGCCAGGGTCCTTTAAAATGTGGAGCCGTCGCCCACTCCACTCACCCCAAACCATTGGCTATGCTGGCTGAGGATCTGCCTACTAGTCAAATTTGGCCTGTGAGGGCAGGTCAGATATAGGAAAAATAGTTCCCCACCCTGTTCTGGAAAAGATTATCCGTGTTCATCACGTGATGTGGTGTTTGCCCTCCTAGGTTAAATAAGGAAAGGGTTAAATGAGTGTGAAGTGATTGGCCAGTGGGAACCCAAGGGGAGGAGTTAGAGTTGGGAGTTGGAGAAAGAAGAGGGAGAATAAGTCTGTGGGTTGGTCTAGTTTTGATGTGAGAGAGTGAGAGTAACTGTAGGAGGAGTCAGATAAACATTTGGGATAATCAGTTAGCAGTTATTAGGAAGGTATAGGCTGGTAAAGTAACTAAGATTAAGAAACTGACAAGAAAAATTATTTGAAACCATAAACTTGTTAATGCTTATAAAATAAACTTGCTTATTTGATTTAATGTTAACAACTGTCTGGACTCTGTGTTTACCCGAGAGAAACGGGTTGGTGGCAGCAGGGAAGCAATCACAGTGATCAATAGACCGTCAAACGTCTGGGGACCCTGTGTGATCGCCACATGTGACATCAAACATCATGTGATATATGCTCATTACAGGACATAAACCTGACAATGCAACAACAGTTAAAAGCAGGAGTTGTAAAGATCCCAATCCCTTCAGTGAAAAACATGCCTCTTTCTGAGGAAAGGGCATTGGCTTACCGGTAACCAGCCAGGAGGTTCATGAGGGTTGATTTCCCAGCTCCGGAAGGGCCCATGATCCCGATAAGCTCGCGGCGGCAAAACTTCCCAGACAGACATTTCAGCAGTGTCTTGTATCCTGGAAAAGAGGGAGGAAGGTGGGCAAGTTGTGAGGGCTGCCCCAGAAGTCAGAGAGCAGGAGTGGGGAGCCTGAGGGCCACCCAATGCTGTGGGACTCCATCTCCCCCCAGCCCCAGCCAACATGAAGGGAGCTGGTGTCCAACAATATGCAGGGAAGACCTCAAGTTCCCCACCCATGTCTGAGAGACAGTGGAGGACACACCTGTTAGCATTTGGCGCATAATTTGGGATTGAGCAAGTTATGTGGCTTGGAACCTCCTTTATTACAATACCAAGTGACATCATTACAGTGGTACCTCTGGTTGCGAACGGGATCCGTTCCAGAAGCCCGTTCGCAACATGAAAGGAACGCAACCTGCAGTGGCGTGTCTGCACACACGCGGGTTGTGATTTGCAGCTTCTGTGCATGCGCGTGATGTCATTTTGCATGTCTGCGCATGCGCGAGTGGTGAAACCCAGAAGTAACCCTTTCTGGTACTTCCGGGTCGCCATGGGACTCAACCTGAAAAAACGTAACATGACGCAAACATAACATGAGGTATGACCGTACACTCCATGGATGGGACTCGTATGGCGCTGTGGTCTGAACCACAGAAGGTCAGCAGTTCAAATCCCCACACGGGGTGAGCTCCCATTGCTCTGTCCCAGCTTCAGCCAACCTGGCAATTCGAAAGCACACCAGTGCAAGTAGATAGTTACCACGGTGATCCACATTTAATCCTCACAGCAACCTTGTGAGGTAGGTTAGATTGAGAGTGGTGATGACTGGTCACCCAGTGAGCTTTTTGGCCGAGTGGGAATTTGAACCCTGGTTTCCGAGGTCCTCATCTGACATTCTAACCACTGCACTCACAATGGCTAACCCTGGTTGCCAAGAGTTTAAGCTTCAGATTTCCTGCTCAAACTAATGACTAGCAGAAACCATGACCCAGTCACCACCCCATCCCAGCTCTGCGTAAATGAAGACGAACGATGACATTCTTTGCCAGTGCTATTGAGAAAGAGTTTAAAAAGAGAGAGGGAGCGAGATCTATGTCGCGAGGATCAGCGTCTGCCTCCAGCTTTGTCTGTTCTTGCCAAATTTGCTCCTCTTTCTCGACTCCTGCAACCCTTCGCCCCACTAATCTCCTGGTATGTGCTTTATCGGAAGATGGACAGGCCATGCACAGATCTCATCAACCAAATAGCTGCCTCCCTGTCAGCAGATGGGGCAAGAAACAGAATCTATTGGGAAAGCAAGCTGGAGGGAACCAAAAGGCATTTTGGGAAAGGGGTGGGGGTGAGGCAGAGTCTGCAAAAGTTCTGAGTTCAGAAGGCATGTGTGTTGGGGCAACTCTGTGAGAACTCCATAGAAGAGTCGATGGAGGAAGACTGGAAGAAATTCAAAGACTATCTTCAGAAACACTGCAAAATTAAGGAATGTTAGAGTGATGTTGGATTGAAAATAAGTGGTTTCCAGCTGTACAGGTTAAAGTTAAGGATAGATTAAGATTAAAGATCAAGATTAAAGATGTTTAAAGAAATGGAAATTTGATAATAAAAGGGAAAAATTTAAAGGTATATAACATTAAGAACAAGGATTAGGTTTAAAAAAGTTGAAGCTATATATTTTAACACTTTATTAAATTAAAAGATTGGGTTTAAAAAAGTGGAAAAGAAACTGCTGGACAAATAATGTAGATTGGAATACAAAAGAGGGAGGTATGAGGAAGTCCAGAAAATAAATAATTTAAAATTGGGAATGGAAAAGAGAGTTTGTTTTTAATTGTTACATTTTGTGTTTTTATTGTTAAATTTTGTATTGTTTTTTTTGGTGTGTGTTGTTTTTCTTTTTTCTTTGTTTAAAACCTTAATAAAAAATTATTTTAAAAAAAAATAAAACATTTTTGTTACATGCAAAAAAAAAAAAAAAAAAACCTCTGTGAGAACTCGGGGCCGTCCAAAGAAGCTGAATGTGGGAAGATTTAAGACGGATTAAAAAAAGGACTTCTTCACGCAGCATAGAGTTAAGCTACGGAACTCCCTTACCCACAGGAGGCAGCGATTAGGGCCAGGCAATATCTGGTTTTCAACATCACAATATATCACCAGCTAAACATTGTGATATAATGATATATCGCAATATCTGAAATAAGGGTGGAGCTATGTAGAGGCATTGGCTGGTGTCAGGGAACTGCCATCAGCTCAGAGGCGAGAGGTGGAAAGGGCAGTTGTGTTATAGGGAACCTCCGAAAATCTTGCGAAGCGGTTCCTACTCTGGCGAGGAGGAAAGCCCCACCTCTGGTGGAGAGGAGGTGCAGCAACCAGGGGATGCTAGGGAGAGCCTCAACACCGAGCCTGAGCAAACAGGAGAGGAGGGAAGTAGCCCTTTGCCAGCACCCATTCTGCGCAGTAGGTTTCGGCGCAGGGAGGGGTGGAGAAGGTTGGGGGTCACGCGACTGTTGTGCTGGGGGAAGTACAAGGACCAACCACTCCCAGATTCTGCTAGCAATTGAGAGAGACATGAACTTATGACGCTCTTCACTGGAAATAGTTTGCACTAAGAATAAAGCCTGGAAAAGACAGGTCAGAGTCTTGCCTGTTTGCTCTCGAGCAACCACATCATCATCTGACAGCTGGCTTCACGGTTTCCCCCACATTGTGATTTATGCGTAGCACACAAAAAGCATGATTCACAATATTTTGCCAGGTCAAAAATTATAAAACTAATATCATGATATGGACTTGAAACCAGTTTTGGACGATATATCGCCCAGCCCTAACACACACCACGATTCACAATATATTGCCAGGTCAAAAACTATGAAACCAATATCACGGTATGGACTTCAAACCGGTTTGGGATGATATACTGATATATCACCCAACCCTAGCAGCGGTTGCCACTAACTTGGATGGCTTTAAAAGAGGATGAGACAGACTCGTGGAGAAGAGGGCTATAGATGGTTTCTAGCCACCATGGCTATGCTTTGCCTCCATGATCAGAAGCAGTCATGCTTCTGAACGCCAGTTGCTGGAAACCACAGGAGAGGGAAATGCTCTTGTGTTCAAATTCTGCTCGCTGTCTTTCCACAGGCAGCTGGGTGGCCCCTGTGAGAACAGGATGCTGGACTAAGTGTTAAGTTGTGGGTGAACATATCAGACGACACAGACGACACTGAAGGGTTCAGCCAGCCTGCTTATATAGAGCTCCACTAGAACGCAACAGTAACCATTTTGTGTAACTATCTAATCACTGAACGTCACTTTCGATCCCTTATTTGCATAACTATCTACAGTATCCCCCTGCTGGCCCAGGGTGAGAACTTCAGTACATAACACTAAGATGGGCCAGCAGGACTTTTCTTATGTTCTTAGTCCCAAGCAAAGCTCCTTTGCATCACCACCACCAGATTCTTGGGTAGGAGCCATGTCCCTTTCCTCACCCCTCCTCTGTTTTAGTCCCTGTGCTTTTAAACACCTGCCTCACAGGGATGCAGGAATTCAGCCCATGATGTCATTCTCCAAACATGATAGGAAGCTGCCTTATACCGAGTCAGGCCTTTGGTTCATCTAGCTTAGTACTGGCTACACTAACTGGCAGCAGCCTCCAGGGTTTCAGGCAAGGACTTTCCCAGTCCTGCCTGGAGATGCTGAGTCTCTCTTTTATATATATAGATATTTTTATCAGTTTTTAGCATACAAAGTTTTAGAACATACCACACAGTTTATCACAAATACATTCTTATTGGACTTCCATCAGCACCTCTGATAATCCTCCGTCTTAATCACTTCTTATGCACTTCCTAACTTAATATTGCCTTTACATCTCTTAACCTATCATCTCTTCTTCGCCATTTTTACAATATTTCTAATATTATTCCTCACAGAACTTCTTGCAAACCTACAAACGTCGTCTGGTCATCACAAATACTTTTCATATAATCTGTAAATTTACTCCAGTGTTCGGTAAATTTTTGGTCCCACCGGTTTTGGATCCTTCCTGTTAGTTTGTCAAGTTCCGCACAGTCCATTAATTTCATCCTCCATTCTTCCATCGTTGGTAATTCTTCTTGCTTCCATTTTTGGGCCAATAATATTCTTGCTGCATGTACTGAAGTTCTCACCCTGGGCCAGATGTCGAGGCTCCACCTACACCTCTCTCACAAACTGCAGGCATGGAGCTGAACCAAGCCGCTTCAGAGGGTCTGCCGGACTTCCCACAGACTCAGACCACTGCCATGCCTGACATTCCGCCAACTCCACTTGCGGATGTTCCACCCACAGCAGCGGATCCAGGGGACTTGGTTTCAAGGCCACCTAGGGTCGCACCACAGCCTCAGCAAGAATTGGGCGACCCCCCGGACCTGGATACCGGTCCCCGGCGGTCTGGCAGAGTTTCCAAGCGCCCAACTTATTTAAAGGACTATGTTGTTGGACATGTAATACTGTCGGTCTAATGGAAGTAGGTGAAATGTAACCGATATGCTTTTGTGCCTAATTGAACCATTACGTGTAGTGCTGTATATAAGGAAACCATTACAATTGTAACTAACGCCTTATCTCGGTGGGGACGGGTGCTATGTACTGAAGTTCTCACCCTGGGCCAGCAGGGGGATACTGTAGATAGTTTTCACTCAGGTCCACATATGCAAATAAGGGATCGAAAGTGACGTTCAGTGATTGGATAGTTACAGAAAACGGTTATTGTTGCGTTCTATGGAGCACTATATAAGCAGGGTGGCTGAACCCTTCAGTTCAGTTCTGTTCTGGCCTGTGAATAAACAAGAGCTGTTTGAAGAATCTCTGTGTCGTCTGATATGTTCACCCACAACTTAACACTGAGGATTGAACCCGGGACTTTCTGCATGAGCAAGCGCTTCAGACCTTTCCACCATTGCGTCCTCTCCTTACTCTGAGGAAAGCTGTACCTGTTGAACTGCTTCTGGCAAAGCAGCTGTTGCCTGGAAGCATTCTTACCAAAGGAATTCCTTGGGATTAACAGAGGCTGCATGCACACCACACGCCAAATAAATAATAATAATAATAGTTGTTGTTATTATTATTGGTGCACATGGCTTCCCCAAAGACTTCTGGGAGCTGTAGTTTACCCCTCACAGAGCTACAATTCCTAGCACCCTTAGGCTACCGTTTCCCGGCTCCTTTGCGGAAAACCACTTGCTTTAAATGAACCCTAGCTTTAAAATTAAATTCAAAATTTAAATGTAGAGTGTGTCCACAGCCTAGCTCAGAAGACAAAGGCGTGATCTTTGGTACAGGGAGTAAGGGAACGCACGTTGGTTCCTAGTCTAGTTCATCAACCGCTCCTTCCTGTCTTGAAGCAGTCGAGACCAGGCCTAGAGAGGCGGTGTGCAGCGCTTCAGGGAACGCCCAGCCCCTAAACGGAGAACTTGAATCAATTTTGGATGCTTTGCTGAGTTCCAGGAAGGGAGCCGAGGTCAGCAGGGCCCATCTCCCTCCTGCAGATGGGCCGACAGATTTTGGCAGAATTTCAAGATGACCTGATTCTTACTGGCAACCGCTGTGATGCCAACCGCAATATGGAAAGCAAAACAGGGGAATGGATGAGCAGGACAGAGCAAGCGGCTGGAACACAGGGAAGCTGCCTTGTACTTAGTCAGGCTGCTGGACCATCTAGCTTAGTCTTGTCTACACCGACCAGCAGTAGCTGAAATATACTCGGAGTCGAGAGTGGATTTCATGCTCTTTATTCAGCTCATAGTGGTGAGGAGGAAATGGAAGTTCCCCCAGAATGTCTGCTTTATATACATTATTTGCACAATGGGCCCCATGTGATTGGCTAATTCCAGGATTCTCCTGTAGGCCAATCAGGTTGTGGATTCACTTCCACCTGGAGCTGGATTGGGTGGCTCCTGTGGACCAATCAGACTGCTGCATTCTGGGTCCTATTGTTCTAGGACCAATCAGACTGCTGCATTCTGAATCCTATTGTTCTAGGACCAATCAGACTGCTGCATTTTGGATCCTATTCAACTCAGTACATAACAGTAGCTCTCCAGGATTTCGCACGCACTACTGGGCATGTGGCCCCCTCCCAGAGACTTGGCCAAGGGCAAATATGGCCCCTGGGTCAAACAGGGTTAGCTGCCCCTGGTGTAAACACTTAGGCTGTGTACCCGCGATGCTTTAAAGCACATTCTTTCCCTCAAAGGACTCTGGGTACTGGAGTTTACCCCTCACAGAGCTCCAGTTCCCAGGACCCTTAAACCACACTTCCCAGAAACCTTTGAGGGAAAGAGCGTCCTTCGAATGTGTTTTAAATGTACACCATGTAGGTTGACTTGGTGAGTTTCACCCCATGGCTCACGATTCTTACAGCTTCTGGGAGATGCACCTGGCACCATCGCTGCCAGTCTTGAGGTGCCAGGCTAGGCCTTTTTGCCCGCTCAGGCCTTTGGTTAATTAATATTGCCTCCTATGGTGGGGGCTGTCTTTTAGCGGGCTGGATAGGAGGACTTGTCTTCACTGATACATTACTGGATAAGCTTTTTAGGTCTTGGTTGTTTTCAAACGTTTTCACGTTTTTAAATTGCTTCCGTGTGTTACAGTTTACCTCGTCTAATCACTTGGAGATTTTATTTCATTTCGTACGAGGCAACGGATACGTGTTAATAACAATAATAATTAAAAACACCAGTGCCACACTCGAGAATGAATAAAAGAATATAAATTAAATAAGGACCAAGGAGAGATGGAGGCTGCGTCATTAATACGTCTCCTGTGGGTTTTGGTTTGCTAATTAGCAGGCCCACTGAGCCACTTTGAGGATTGGGGAAGGTTGCTTTGGGAAAAAGTGATTAATATTTTATTCTCCTGCCCTTCCCCCTGCACACATTACCCCTGAACCTGCAGCTAGATGTGTGAGGAGGGAGAACGTAAGAAGATCACAAGATCCCTGCTGGATCAGACCAATGACCCTTCTAGTCCAGCATCCTCTTCTCACAGCTATCGCCAAGATGCCATTGACAGGAATTGATAAGGCCATAGCTGTCAACCTTTCCCTTTTCTTGTGAGGAATCCTATTCGGAATAAGAAAATTTCCCTTAAAAAAAGGAAAACGTTGACAGCTATGGATAAGGCACTTGATGAAGGGCCCTTGCAGAATCCAGCCAGGGGGAGCCAGATTTTTTCAGACTCGCCTGATGCAAGATCCACACGGCAAATGTTTCTTAGGATCCTCGCTTAGACTCCTGTCTACTGCAGACGCATGCACAGAGGAAGACATCGTTGAACAACTTGGCTACTTTGCAATGTGCTTAAAATAAATAAATAAATCAGCAGCTGTGAAGGTAATACCACCGCTAGAGGGCTCCACAACACCACAACTCTATTCAACTTTGGTCTGCCCTCCAGAAAGTTTTCTATTTTGCAGGAGGGATATTGGAACTTCTAAGTTTGCACAGTTAAAGTGGATTGAAATGCTCTGTCCCTCTAGCGCAACAAGCCCACTTAGGAAACGAACAAACAAAAGAATGTGGCAGAGAAATGTATTGGAAAATGTGGGTGGAATGAATGATTAAAGGAAGATACATTAACACCCTGCAAGCAAATCAGGATATATCATTATTGTCATATAACCACCCTGTAAACAAATCAGAACAAACGCTCAATGAAGAATGGACACAATCTAACTTTTGCATGAACTTTGTGCAAGTGAATAAGAATGAAGGCTCAATAAATCGGACATCTGAAGGGACCCTCAAAAGGGTTAGGGCAGATCCGCAACATTCATTCAAAGCACATTCAAAGCATCCTCACATTAATACTGTTGACCTGGGTGAAAACTATCTGGTCAGCCTTTTCTTTGTTTAAGAAATTATTTGAAACTTCTGTTGTCTCTCCTAATCCTATTTGGCTTTGTGGGTTTGACTTCCCTTCCTAGACAATCAAATCTCTCTCCTTTTCTCTTTCTCCCTGATGGTGTTAAGCTTTCCCTTCTCCTTTTGTCTCAGACTGATGCGTCTTCTCAGTTCCTGTACAGCGCCTGGCACATATGAGGTGTTTTACAAATAATACGTGAGCTCAGTTAGGCTCTACCTCTGAGCCATCAAACCTACCCCTGCTCTGTCTCCTGGCCCACCAAGGCTTCCTGCCTTCACTAAGCTCCACCCACACACTGAGACTCCACCCACATCTCCCCAGGCTCCTCCCCTGAGCCTCAGAAGACCTGGCAAAGCCACTCCTACTTGCACCCACCAGATCAATGGCCGACAGTGACCTGCTTAGTATATACCCAGGAACATGCAGAGAGCAGCTGCTAATCGTGCTTAGCATTACTAAGGGCTTAAATGTCCAATTAGCGTTAGCTTTTTTTCTTTTTTGCTTGCTGGAGAAGTTTAATGACATGTGACTAGCAGCAGGTTGTCACTCTAGAAAAGTCATTGGGGGAAGTCAATGTTTGTTTTCCTTTTTAGTGTTTATATTATTAATTTGTAGGATTTAGATTTGTTTTTTTATATGCTTGTTTTTGTGTTTGGTGTATTGTTATTTTGTTGTTGTTGTTGTGTGGAAAATACGAATAAAATTTACTATTAAATAAATAAATAAAAAGAAAAGTCATCCCTTTAGAGAGAGAGTCTGTAGCATGAAGGAACTGGGGGAGAGACATAGGTCAGTGGTACAACATGCGCCCAGCATGCAGAAGGTCCCAGGTTCAATCCCTGGCCTCATTCCCAGCAAGGGCAGGGAAGGTACCCACTCTGAAGCCTTAAGAGAGCCAGTGTGGTGTAGTGGTTAAGAGCAGTGGACTCGTAATCTGGTGAACCGGGTTCGCTTCCCCGCTCCTCCACATGCAGCTGCTGGGTGACCTTGGGCCAGTCACACTTCTCTGAAGTCTCTCAGCCCCACTCACCTCACAGAGTGTTTGTTGTGGGGGAGGAAGGGAAAGGAGATTGTTAGCCACTTTGAGACTCCTGAGGGTGGTGATAAAGCGGGATATCAAATCCAAACTCTTCTTCTTCTTAAGAGAACTGCTGCCAGTCAGTGTAGACAATATTGAGCTCGGTTTGATTTGGTATACAGCAGCTTTCTATGACCAAACTGATACCGGTAGTTTGGGAGGGAGGTGAATGCTTATTGGGAAGACAGCGGTTTAGGGAACAGTACAAACCATTGCATTGTTACTCAGAATATTCCATAGTACAGTGGTCCCTTGGGTTACATACGCTTCAGGTTACATATGCTTCAGGTTACAGACTCCGCTAACCCAGAAATATTACCTCGGGTTAAGAACTTTGCTTTAGGATGAGAACAGAAATAGCGCGGCAGCAACAGGAGACCCCATTAGCTAAAGTGGTGCTTCAGATTAAGAACAGTTTCAGGTTAAGTACGGACCTCCGGAACGAATTAAGTACTTAACCCAAGGTACCACTGTAAATGTGTTTAGGACTCTCTATTAAAGAGAGTGACAGGCAGACATTCTGATCATGGGTGTAGCCAGGGTTTTTGATGGTGGAGGCAGGCTTTTGTTAGGGGGACAGAACCTCAGATTTGTATTTATTTGGGTGGGGGGCAGCTGCCCCCCTTGGCTACACCCATGATTCCTATCAATCCTGTTGCTATTACAATGAATATACCTGTGGATTTAGGACCTCCAATGAGTCATTCCAGCTCATGAGTCCCTGCTGCCCAAGACAGCTAAGCAGGTGCCTTACTCTGCTGGGCCGACATTTTGCCAGCGCAAAGGGCATAGAAGCTACACAGAGCTCTTCCACAAGCCTACCATGTTCCTGCCCAACAAAGAGTTCTGTTGGATTCCAAAGCTTTCGTCTTCTCCTTTCTTAACTCCAGATGGATTAGTCAAAGGTTAGGGCCAATAGACAAGATTTGTCTAGTCACAACAAATATTGCCTTTATTGATCAAACAACAGTTCCTTCCACAATTGGCATTTTGTCTGGAATTGCCATCCTGAACTTACTCACTTTTTATTAACAACCAGAGGGCTTAAAGACTTAACTTGCAAACAGGCCATTTGCAACAATTTGTTTATTTGTCAGATTTCACCAGGAAAGGGTAAATCTGGATTAGAAGGGGATATGTGTGAAATACAGACAAGCGTTTTTATGCCAAACATGCCATAAGGATCATGCAAAAAATAAATAAATGCACATCTGAGGAGCAACCATCCCATAATAGAGCCCCTCGGTTGTTCCCAGTCTGTTGTATTTCAGGTTCTTCTTGTGTGGCTCCCTTCTCCCCAACCCCACGACTTGATTTGTGGCAATTAATTCGCAATAAAGCACAACTGCAGCATCAGCCTGTCCACTGTGGTCAGGCAAAACTCTACTGAGGTTTCAAAGGTCCTAGTGTAGTAATGTCCTGATTGCCCCTTCTGCCCTGTTGATTGCTTCCTTTCAGGGTGGCTGGGGATTAATCAATTGCCCCTTAATTAATCAGTTCTTGTTCCCTGTGGGGGGAAAACTTTAATTACTGATGCCATCCTCCCCTCCCCACCCCACCCCACCCTCTTTCAATGGCAAAGTTGACAAATGAAATACCAGGATTTTACAATCAAAGGGGGATGAAAAAAGAGAGGAAATCAGAAATTGATGCTCCCCCGAATGGTGAACAGAAACTGACTAATTATGTGGCAATTAAGGAGCAGTGAGATGCAATCAATCATTTACCCCATCCCTACACAGAAGGGAAGCTGATAAAAGTAACAGAAGCTGAAAGAAGGAAGCTTCTAATTAAGTTCTTTGGAGACTTTGCTGAACGCAACTTATTTCTGAGCAAACATTAGATATGGGCTTTGGCAGAAGCCCTGCTGTAGAAAATAGCGCTATATTAAGTGCATTGCAAAACCAGCCATTTAATTCCACTTCCAGCCGATGGTGGAAATGCAGTGTATCAGCAGCACCAAAGTATGTAACGTGGAAGCCACCGACTAACTGCGCTAGGGGACAAGAAGGAAATTATTGCCTTTTCCTCCCTTTATGTGACTTGGCTCACTGCCGTGAGTTAGCTCAAGTTATTTCCTATGGAAGCAACTTTCTGCAGTGCGCCAACTCTCGGTGGCGTGCTGTGGTCCAGGCTGTGTTATGCGGCCCTACGGTTGCCTAGCAACTTGGATGTGCTTTCCCACAACCCCTTGCAAGTGGCAAAATGGCTGCCCAGGGAAACAGCACAAGGGGAAGACATGTGGGGAGGAAAGAGGATGATACAGGCAGAGGGGCCCGAGTATAAGGGGTGAGGGAGTAAGAGCACAATTGCAGGATGAGGTACACAGCTGCAAGGCAGGTGAATGAAGAAACGACAAACTCAGACTCCATGTAGGTTGTTCTGGTGGTTGAGGCCGGCCCTGACATTTGGAAATATTTGTCCCAGCGCTTTTGTTGTCTTGCAAAATGAACCCCAAACCACAAGCATCACTGGGAATAAAGAATAAGTTTGCCAATACCAGCAAATACCAAGCATGGTTTTCCTGCCTTTGACCTATTTTAAAAAGATGATGCTCCCTACGGGAGGGCTGAATTTAAAAAATAACATGAAATTTAGGGTTTCCACCCATCCAACCAAAATGCTATAGAGACCCTTAACCCCCACCTGAGGCATTTAAAGGGTATGGAATGCTGAAACCAGGACTGGAGGGAAACATTATCAAAGGCACAATCCCAAATATTTTCATGTTTTCATAATAATTGTTATATCAGGTTTATTAACAGTCACCCAACTGGTCACCTGGGGCGAGTAAAGCTTATTGCAGGGGACCAGGCTGGAAAGGGATGTATTACTATTCTAGGAGTTTGCCTAGGAAAGCTTTCCTTGCCAGAGCCTGTTCCATGTTTGAAATGGTATCTGGAATTTTAACAGCTGAACATGAGTACCTTTCAATGACAAACTGTATCAGTGGTGGGTTGGGCACCTCTGCGCAAGGAGCTGTACTCAGTGGGAAGTCATGCCGTCTAACAGGGGGGAAGGAGCATTTGAGCACAAATATCCCTGCCAGCATTTTGCTAGGGAAGTCCAGTAGGTTAGGAGGATGGCAGATTTATAATCCACCTAATCTGATCTCTCTTGCAGATCCTATCCCCTGCATTCTAAAACCTCTTTCTCTGCCTCGCTAATCTTGACTTCTGAAGTGATCCTGGCACAGTAACCCTGCGAAAACAAGCTGGGGAAATTTCCACGCAAGCCATTCTCATATGCTGAGAATGTAGAGGTGAAAAACAGATAATAACAATAAAAAAAAAAAATCAGTGAAACTGGATTTGAAGTGTGTGTGTGTGTGTGTGACTGGAAATCTGAATCTGTATTTATTTCCATTCTGAATCAAGGCACTTCAAGGGGAGGTAAGAAATTCACTTCATTATCACTTCATTTCACGGTAACTCCACAATACAATAAAAATTCTTTCTTTCTTTCTTTCTTTCTTTCTTTCTTTCTTTCTTTCTTTCTTTCTTTCTTTCTCCCCCCCCCTTTGTGTGTGTGTGTAACTGCTTGCTGCATATATTGCAGCCATGAACCTCCTAAACAGATTTGTCACCTGCCCCAAATCCTCTTTTCTGAAAACCCCCCAGATGTCTGTCGCTATGCAGTGCCCATAAGGAAACCGCTCTGCACATCCTCAAAGAAAGCTCTTCCTTCCTCCCAGCCTCCATTCCTCTGCAAAGCTGAGCCCCGGCACTGAAAACAGGTTCTGGGGCAAAACCCTATACTTCAGACTAAGCCCCAGAGCTTAGAGACAGAACCACTGAGCTACACGCATGCAGGCAATGCCTCTTTTTGGTTTGAAGAGGGGGAAGGGGAAAAGAGGTGGACTGGGGGGAGGGAGGGGAAAACAACAAACCAGTAGATTTTAATCTGCGAGCGATTGCAAGAAAACCCAGGGAAAAAATAGGAAGGACTCTCTCCCCCCGCAGCATGAGAGAGATGCCGCTGGGCTGCCACTCAGACACGATTGCGGCGCAGAACAGTGTGGTTACTCGAGTTCATTGACTGCCAGTAACCTCCGCCTGCCTTGAGCTCAGCTGCTGCAAATCTAACTCAGCTCCAGCAATGCCAGTGAGGGCATCCTTCTCGGCAAGGTTCGCTTTCTCTTCGTCTTCCTTTCAGCCAAGACCAGGGTCTGGTTGCTGGGGCCTGATCCCCCAGAAAGAAAGAGCACCCCCCAAAAAACCTTTCACAGAACAGTAGGGATGGTTTCCTCCACCCCCTCCTTCCCCAGGGGCTCTGCACTAATCCAGACAAGGGTCTTTGCTTGCAGCTGGGGGAGTCTGCCATCAGTGCAACTCAGACGTTCTGCATGCATACTGCAGTGTGCAGGAATCACAATCTCGGATGAAGGGTTGAAGCTCAGCGGTTTTGCATGCAAAAAATTCCAGGTCCGGTCCTCAACATCTCCAGAGAGGGTTGGGAATTCTCTCTGCCTGAGAACATGGGTAGGCAAACTAAGGCCCGGGGGCCGAATCCGGCCCAATCGCCTTCTAAATCTAGCCCACGGATGGTCCGGGAATCAGCATGTTTTTACATGAGTAGAATGTGTCCTTTTATTTAAAATGCATCTCTGGGTTATTTGTGGGGCATAGGAATTCGTTCTCCTCCCCCCTCAACCATGGGCCGGTCCACTGTCCCTCAGACCTTGTGAGGGGCTGGACTATATTTTGAAAAGAAAAGAAAGAAAAAAACAAATTCCTATGCCCCACAAATAACCCAGAGATGCATTTTAAATAAAAGGACACATTCTACTCATGTAAAAACACGCTGATTCCCGAACCGTCTGCTGGCCAGATTTAGAAGGCGATTGGGCCGCATCTGGCCCACGGGCCTTAGGTTGCCTACCCTTGGCTTGAATCATAGAATTGTAGAGTTGGAAAGGACCACAAGGGTCATCTAGTCCAACCCCCTGCAATGCAGGAATCCTTTGCCCAACATGGGGCTCGAACCCAGTGGTTAAGAGCGGTGGACTCGTAATCTGGTGAACCGGGTTTGCTTCCCCGCTCCTCCACATGCAGCTGCTGGGTGACCTTGGGCTAGTCACACTTCTCTGAAGTCTCTCAGCCTCACTAACCTCACAGAGTGTTTGTTGTGGGGGAGGAAGGGAAAGGAGAATGTTAGCCGCCTTGAGACTCCTTCGGGTAGTGATAAAGCGGGATATCAAATCCAATCCCTGAGATTGAGAGTCTTCTGCTCTACTGACTGAGCTGTCAGGGCGCAGTCAGTGGACTTCTCCTAGGAACGCAGGGACATGTCCTGATTCAAACCCATTGGCCCACCAAGTTCAATATTGCCTACACTAACCGGCAGCACCTCTCCAGGGTTTCAGACCAGGGAGCATCTCCCAGCCCTAACCTGGAGTTACCAGGGATTGAACCTGCGACCTTTTCCATGCAAACCAGATGCTCTACCCCTGTGCTATGGCCTTTGCCCTAAAAAGCAACACAGCACAGCATGGACAAGGGGGGTCATACAACCGTCAAGGCAAGCACAGGCAAGCTTTTTACGCAAAACGCAAATTATTCCCACCAGCCTTCTCGCCTTAGGGATGGTGTGCAGCAAGGGGTCAAATTTCTCCCAGATAACTTGACCCGGGTTAGGGGGAGAGAGGGGACCCAGCTGACGCTCAGCGTTTATCGGGGCAGTGGAGGAAGCTGCTTCTTCAAGGGCTCCACAAAGTCAATCCCAAGGAGGATTAACCTGGATCTTACTGGCTTAAGGCAGAGCCAAACTCCTTTGGGCTCAGCAGATAGAGAACTGGCTGCTGTCTATCAAGCCATCCCTTCCCTCTTCCCTAAAGCTGAAGCAATGGGATAAACATTCGGGGACAGGGAGGGGGGAACCGCCGAGTGCAGGATTGCGCAAGCTGTGACCTGCCAAGTCACTGTCAGCCACTGAGGCAACTTCCTTACTGCTCTATTGTCTGCAGTCCTGGATGAGTGGCCAAGCCAAAAGGGCAATCAAAGCCCTGGTTGGGGTACCGTGCGTGGCTAGCAAGCACATTTGATGGGGTCGCCTATGCAAGTTGCGCTAGTGGATAAGGATTAACAGGTGGTTCCCCAGAATGACATGCTTCTGAATAGAGTGCACGCACACATGCACACTTTGGGCACTTCCCTGGTGGTGCTACCCTGCTCTTTAGCACTGTAAACGGCAACCGGGTTTTCCATGGATTGCTGTGTGTTCTGATTAAGCGCTATAGAGCAGGCTTTTGGGGGATGGGGACAGCGGGGAAAAGACAAAACCTCTTGGACCTGTGCTTTTTAAGCATGGGACAAGCAGAAGTGTTGACGAATCCTCAGTGGCAGACCATCTGCTTGGCATTCAGAAGATGCCAGCATGGCTGAAACCCTGGAAAGTAGCTGTCTGGTCTGCGTAGACAATACCGAGCTATATGGAACAATGGTCTGACTCTGGTTGCATTTGCCCCATACATTCAAAGCACAAGGCTTCACCCCTCCCCCCCCAAAAAATAGAATAATGGGAACTACAGTTTGCCCCATGGAGCTTTGATTCCCACCCACCCCCCTTGGCAAACTACAGTGCACAGGATTCTTTGGGAGAAATCATACGCTTTCAATGTACAGTGTGGATGTGACCTCCGTATAAGTCAGCTTCCTATGCGCCCAATGATCCCTTCCTTGAGCTCAGCACCCTTTGGCGCTGCCCCATGCTGGCGTGCTCTCGACCTTATTCTTTCCCAAAGAAAACGCCTTCTTTTGGGGGCTTTGCTTTCGGGGGGGGGAGGGCTGGTGATTGGCATTCCATGCAGAGGAGCTAATTAAGGCAGGCCACCACCTCCCACCTGCCATAACCCTCCCCCGGCTTTCTGCAGCACTGATTTATATGCGCGGAGCAACGGTGCCGCCTACGCAGGACCAGGCTCCCCAGAGAGCTCAGAGAAAGAGAGGGAAAGATGCCCGTGGCTGGGGCAGGAAACAGATGCTAAATTTATCTCCTTATCGTCACGTGTTCTTGCCTGGCATCAAGGCCTCCGATCTTCGGGGAGACGGAGCAGAACAAGGCATGCCTTCAGGTGGGGAGTCCCCATCCCAGAGGCAGAATTCCTGCCTCTGGAACTTCATGGGATGTGGGACCTCTCTCACCATGTGGGGTGTGCAAAAATACCAGAGCCCTGTGTAGGAACAGGGGTCAGGTGGATCAAAGGCTGGGGACCTGTAGCGCTCCATCTCTGTTCATGGAGGAGAAGGCTATCAGTGGCTGCTAGCCAGGATGGCGATACTCTGCCTCCGTGGCCACTGGCAGAAATGCTTCTGAATACCAGTCAATGGGATGCTCAGGTCCTGCTTGCGGGTTTCCCAGCACCCTTAACAGACTACAGCTCCCAGGATCCTTTGGGCAAAAGCCATAGCTTTGAAAGTGGCATCATGGTTCTTTAAATGTGTAATGTACATGGAGTGTAGCTTCTTTTAACAAGGCACACCAAGGATGGAATTCAGGGACCTCCTGCATGCAAAACAAGGGTCTCTGCTCCCCAAACGGTTGGCTAAATGGCAAAGGAGGAACAAGCTGATAGTTTTGGACTTGGACACATAATCATCTGGCTGAGTTTCCCAACCACTCTGGGTGGCTTCCAATCAAGTGTTAAAAACAATACACATGAGAACATTAGAAGAGATTTGTAGCAGGATCAAACCAAAGGGGCCATTTAGGAGAAGGGGGATGGCTCAGTGGTAGACCACTTGCCTTGTGCACAGAAGGTGCCATGTTCAATCCTCTGCATCTCCAGGCAGGTATGGGAAAGACCCTTGTCTGAATGCCTGGAGAGCTGCTGCCAGTCAGTGCAGGCAACACTGAGGTAGATGGACAAATGGTCTGATAGGAAGTGTCCTATGTTCCTCATAGAGCATTCCCCCCCCCATGGCCAACCATTGTGGCAAGCCCATAGGCAGAATATGAGCTCAACTGACCTCTCTAACAGTTGCTGATCATAGAATTGTAGCGTTAGAAGGGACCCCGAGGATCATCTAGTCCAACCCCTGCAAGGCAGGAACCCGGCCCACAGCCATCCCTGGCTGGGCTCGAACCACCAACCTCCCAGTTGACAGCCAGATGTGCTGACCCATTGTGCCACAGGAGGGCATGGTGCTTCTAATACTAGAGGTGATGCAGCTGCCGTTGGTCATTACTGATAGCCTTACCCTCCATGAATTTGTCTAATTCCCCTTTAAAATTATCTAATCCCCCTTGAAAGCTATCCCACATTGACAGCCATCGCTACATCTTGGGGTAGCAAATTCTACAGCTTCCCTATGCGCTGAGAGAAGAAGGCCTTCCTTTAGTCTGTCCTGAGTCTCCTATCCTTCGGTTTCATTGGATGGATCCCACTGGATTTTATAATCATCATCATCATCATCATCATCATCATCTCACCCTTCACCCTGAGGTCCCGGGGTAGGTTAAAAGATGAAAAGTGCTATGCACTGAACCAGCCATTTCAGCTACTGGATAGGTTACAGTCCACCTCTATGATTTGATTTACTTAGTAGTAAGTCTCACTGAGTTCAGTGGGATTTATTCCCAAGTTAAATGTGCACAAGATGGCAGCTTTAGTTGCCAACAACCTTGTTTACGAAAGCTAATATATACACTGGAGTTGGCAGGTAGGTGATAGCTAAGGTCTTGTAAGGCTTGCTTGCAAGACCTTAGATTCAAGCTATCAAGCAAATCCATCAAAGTATCTAAATTCTCTCATCACGTAAGTTGCTGTCTTCTTTCCCAGAAAGCTGGGCAAGAGACGAGCGGGTTTTACAAGGGAGAATAATGTCTCTAATTGCTGTTGAACCTTCACAAAGATCTCCTTTCTTGGAGGGTTCCAAAAGTGAGCAGCTTTTGCCAATCCCCCCCCCCCACCTCACCACCCTCAGTTTCTAGTCCCTTCTCTTTTCATTGCACATAAGGAACCATCCCTCAATTTCAGAAGTTCAAGTGAAAGTGCTGATGCTTATGTAGCCAAAAATGGTACTACCCATGCTCAACTGGTTTAAAGAAAAAAACAGGATTTGGAAAAAAAGCAAACAAACCCACAATAAAACTATAGGGCAGGCATGTCCAAATCCAGCCCACCAATCAGTTTAATCTGGTCCCTGTGGCAGTTTATTCCCTGGGGTAAAATCCTAAAAAATCCCTAAACAACCTCAAAAAGGTCAACAACTTTGGTCGGCCCCCACGGCCCTTCATTCATCAAATTTGGCCCTCTTTGAAAAAAGTTTGGACAGGGAGAAGACCTCAAGGTAGGAACGCCAAAACAGCAGTTCAGTGAGGATTTAGCATGCTTGGTGGGCATGCAATGCTGGCTGACTTATGGGGCAGGGGGGTGGATAGGAGTGTCATGGAGCACAACTAATGGGAACACTCCATGCTGCAACATTTTGTTGCAGGTCTTCTTTCCTATATCACTCAAGCAAACACTGAAGCCTCCCAGTTTGCATTCAGGAAGAAAGAGAAGACAAGAAATATGTCCTAACTAGCCGGTGAGCAGGCCAGGCTGTTCCTGTGACTCAGAGGCAGATGTAGCTTAGTTTGGTACATTAGTCACAATCCTCCACACGCTTCTTCCCATTATATTCCTGCTTAAGAGGGATGCCAGCAAATCACATCTATGCACACACATGTACACGTGCAGATGTGTGCATGTGTGTGCATAGATGTTTGCACGCGCAGAGCCACGAGGGGCCATGGAAGGAGAGACTTAGAGGAAAAGCAGCGGGCCCTGATTCACACGTGTGCACAAAAGCCGGGAGAGCATCCTACCTCTCTTCCGCCACCAGGATCCCTCCCGGACGGAATACGACAGGTCGACAAACTCAATGTCCACAGCCGAGCGCTTGGGCAAGTGGGAGAACCGTTGGGCTTCCGTGATGTGGTTCTCCACCTTCTTCAGGTGGGTGGTCAGGAGGGGAGCATCCTGCGAGCCGGAATTGCACACTGTGTCCTCCAGGGCGATGGAGACGCATGCAGGGTCAAGGCTCTTCTCGGCCATCGCCACCGAACTGCAGAAAAAGGGATGGAGGCATCAGGAAGCTGTTGGGCTAGAAGTGTCTCACTCACTCACTCTCTTACGAAATCCAGAACATGAGCCCATAAGAGGAGCCTGGCTGCTGGATCAGGCCAATGGCCCATCTAGTCCAGCATCCTGTTCTCACAGTGGCCACTCAGATGCCCATGGGAAGCCTACAAGAAGGCCCTGAGTGCAACAGCGCTCTCCCCTAGCCAGCTATAAATATTTCACAGTAACAGCAAGGTAATGAATAAGTCTCTTGGGTTGGGTACTTCCATGCTGTGTTGGTTAATTCTTTTTCCCACCTCCTGTTCTTAGAAAGAGGACCTAACTCTTGACAGCTCTTCATCCCTGGATTCTACATCTACATAAGAAGAATGTAGAAAAGAGGAAACTGAGAGGAGACATGATAGCCACCTTCAAATATCTCACATGGAAGAGGGAGTGAGCTTGTTTCCTCCTGCTCTGGAGGGTAGGACCCAAACTAATGGATTCAAGTTGCAAGAACGGAGATTCTGATTTTTTCTTCAAAGTTGCCCAAGTTAGTGACCATTGCTGCCCCTTGTGGAAGCGACTTCCATAGTTTAAGCGTGGACAAAGGCTTCCTCCTGTCAGTCCAGCGTTCAGCTTCGCTGGATGTTCCTGACATCTTTGTGACCAGAGATGGTGAAGACTGATTGCCTTGCACCCCTGAGCTATGGGCCATCTTTCCTCCCTGCACAGAGACACCTGCTTGCTCCTATGGCCTCCCCCGCCCCCCATCCCTTGGAGCACCAGAGGTCTGAAAGCCAGCAGTCACTTACTTCGTGTTTCAATAATGCATAGGCCTCCTATTATTATTCTTTCTACTGCCTCCTGGGCCCAGCTCCTAGGCTGAGGCAGCAGAAGAGAAATGGTCTCCTGCTTCCCATTGTGTCCCCAATTCCCCCCCTGACCCTGCCTCCAGGTATCATAATCTCCTCTCTGCCAACTAGGGAAAAGAACAAGAGGAGAGCGTTGGCCATTTTTTTTGCAGAGAAATAACCAAGAGGGTATGCTGTGACCTACCAAAGGTCCCAAGGAAGTCCATAGCTCCCCCTTATCGCTTTGAAAACATCTTGCCCTCGACACAGAGGCAGGGCTTCTCCTAAATCAGGGTGGAAAACCTGAGACTCAAATGCAGCTATCCAGGCCTTTTTGCCTGGCCCTTGGAGTATTCTCCTTTTCCCAGTCACAGCCCATCTTGACCTGACTTCACAGAACCCACATAACAAACTGGCAAAGGGCAGGGCAAAAACTAGACAGCAGGCATTAAAAATATTCCAGTGATTCCATACCCTCCAACATTTCTCTGATGAAAATAGGGATGTCCCATTCCATACTGATAATTTTACTATATTTATACCCCACACACCTTACTGGGTTGCGCCAGCTACTCTGGGCAGCTTCCAACATATATAAGAACATAATGAAACATTAAACATTTAAAAAACAACTTCCCTATACAGGATTGCTGTCAGATAACTCCATACCCTCCAAAAATTATCCAATGAAAATAGGAACATCCTGCCACACGCTCTAACATTTCTCCAGTGAAAAGAGGGACGTCCTAAGGGAAGGTGGGACATTCCAGGATCAAATCAGAAACCGGGGTGGCTTTTCTAAATCAGGGACGTCCCTGGAAAATAGGAACACTTGGACGGTCTGTGATTCAAAGCTTGGGGAAACATCCTTCTTCTTGTGGGCTTCTCCCAAGTGGGCTGGTGGAAGAGTAATGGAGCAGTCTATTCTTCCTCTGGCAGCCTGCATGAAATACCATGCGTTCACCTGCATGCAATTTCTGGTCGCCTGTGGTAACCAAGTGAGCTGTTAGATATAAGGCTGGCATAAGGTGAAGAGCACAGCGATCATTCGTATTAGAAGCGGAGTGTTACAAAGGTGCACCTATTTTTTAGTCTTCAAAATTGATATACCGCTTAACTGGGGGGGGGGAATCTATAAGTGGTTTACAGAAAACGGCATAAAATATTCATTAAAACAGACTTTAAAGCAGCAAACACAATAAAATGATCGATATATAGATTAAAATCAACATTAACAAAATAAACAAACCTAGGCAATAAAGTTACATGTCTGGGTAGGCTTGCCTAAACCAAAAAGGGTTTTAGCAGGTGTCAAAATCAATGAAGCAAAGGCACTTGCCTAATCTCAATCGGCAGGGAGTTCCAAAGAACTGGTGCTGCCACATTAAAGTACTGAGTTGATGTTGGCTGGCATCTGAGAACCACTGAGTGGAGGAGCCCCAGTCAACGCCCAGCCGCACAAGAGCAATTTGAGTGTGCGAATGGACCCAGGTGCCTGAAAGATCGTTCCATTGCCGGGCTGTTGTGCAATTGCGTCTGGAGTCTGCAAAGATATGACCAAAAGGCTCCCCAGCCTTCGCCCTTCGTTCCCACCACCCTTCCTGTTCCCTCCAGCACCCGAGAGAGATTTTGTAGATAAAGAAGAGGCAAAACCAGCCTCAAAGGGAAACTGTTGAACAATTCCCATAGATTGCAGCCACAGCAGAAAATCAAGCCTAGCCTGCGCCAACAGCCAGCCTCCATCCTTGCTATGAATCGAACGCAGAGCTGGCCACTCAAATCCAGGGGCAAAGCAAGAAAGAAAAGGTGCCACAATGGAAGAAGCCACAGTGCAGGAACAGGGTGCACTGTGCAGCGGAGAAGGTGTGCAAGCAAGGCAGGCTAGGGTGGTACAGTCAGCTCTTACCATCAGCTCTCAAGGCAAAGCATCAAAAATGCTTGGCTGCAGGTAGGCAGGCCACAAGAACTGGCCTCCTCTCCCTGTTCTGGAAGCTTGGATTTTGAAACGGACCCTACAGGGTAAACCTGGACAGGTTTCTGGGGAAGTGTGCACCCGTGGGTGGGCAGAAGAATGCCGGTGGGACCCTCCTCTTCCCCCTCCCCTTCCCTCTGGGCTCAGCCCACTCTGCTCCCTTGCAATTCTTTAACCCACATTTCTGATCACTGCAGTTTCCTGTGCAGTACGGAGGCACAGAGAAGTAAGCAGCCTCGTTTTGGGTGCTGGGCTGGCACCTGTCCTT